CCGGCTGATTTTTTATTTATTGTAGAGATGAGGTCTCGCCAAGTTGCCCAGGCAGGTCTCGAACCCACAGTCTCAGGCAATCCACTCACCTCAGCCTCCCAAAGGCGCGGGATCACAGGCTGAGTCACCGAGCCTGGCTTCCGTATGTTTCTAAGGAAACAGACCTATGGTACCGGCTGAGCCCGTGGTATGGTAGAGCCACATCCATAACGTTGATGTCTCATGGCTCTGGCCTTACCTGCAAAGGCAAGACTTTCAGCCCCGAACAGCCACCCAGGCCTTTACCCAGGGGCTTCCTGTTCCCTGGGAGGCAGTGTCTGCTGTATTCTTCCTATTCGATCCTGCGATGCTGATGGCCACGACCCAAGGAGCCACTGAGAGTGCCACCCACACTGTAAGGGCACTGAGGTCTCTGCCATGGACCCCCCTGCCCTGCCCCTGTGCTCCCAAAGCCATAGGTCTGGGCCTGCCTCGTGTCGCTGCTGGGCTCTAGAGCAGCAGCCCTAACCTTGTGGAAACCTTGACTCCTGCTGCAGCCGGTCCCCACTGTCCACAGAACTGGCTCAGGGACCGGCCCCACTTTCCCTTCCTGGAACCTTCCTCAGGTTCCTTCATCCCACACCTCCCCTGCACACATGTCCTGGTCCTGGCAAGAGGCTGACCTGGGCCAAGGCTGAGACTCCTGCCCAGAAGGATGACATAGCCGATCCAGATTGCCCAGTGGTGATTCCTACCTGGAAGGATATGTATGGATTTCCACATCAGACTGGAACATGGGCAGCATGGCACGGGTAGATTTTCAGATTGACTTTCAGAGTCTGTGATGTTAAAATTCAGTTGGTTCACTCGGCTAGAATGCAAACAACTGAGCAGTCACTGCCAGGCCCTCAGCTGAGCAGCAGGGAGGCCATAACAGGCAAAGCCTGCCCTCTAGGAGCTTAAGGTCCAGTTAAGGGAAAAAGTAACATCTCATTAACTATAAAATTATAACTTTAGACTATAAACCATAAAATGTAAAATTAAAAATACCGTGTGACCAGTGCAAAAATGGCGAGCCAGGAGAATGCAGAAGAGAGGCTCCCAGTCCAGCCAGGTCCCAGCCTTCCTGGAGGAGGTGACATCTGGCCTGTTCCCTGACCAGCAATCAGGGTTGGGGCTGGGGTTAGGGCTGACACGTGCTCCAGTGCACCATACTTGCCTGATCTCAGACCCCAGAGGCTGTGGCTCTGTGACTGTGACTGTCACCCAGAATTGGGGAGAATTCTCTGGAAGTCGCTGAAGCAGAGTCTACATAGCCGAGTGGGCGTCTCCTTGAATCAGGAACAAGGTGGGTGTTCTTAGGGTGAAGGTGAACCTCACACCCGGGGCTTGTTCCAGAATGCTCAACCTCTGCGCCACCTCCTGGCCTCCCAGCATGACCCCAGCACTGACTCCTGGCATGGAGGTGGCGTGTGGGGTGGTGCTTGGATGGATGGTGTGAGTGTGGAGGTGGCATGAGAGTGTGCCATGTGCTCTTGTGTGTTTCATATAGAGGGCGAGGTGTGTCCATGTGGTGTGTGTGTGTGTGTGTGTGTGTGTGTGTGTGTGTGTGTGTGTGTGTGTGTGTATAGCATGCATGTATG